AAGGAGGTACGATGCTTGCAGGTGTATCAAATGCTCTACCCAGAAGTCTCACAGGGCTTCCTGTTCCAGGGAGAGGAGTGTGCACCGCTCTGTTTGTTGATATAAAATATTGCCGGGGTGTTGTCTATCATAACTGATACACATTTCCCTGTTAGGGGGATCCGAAAGTCTGGTATGCCAGGCGCACTGCTCTCAGCTCTCTGACATTGATGTGGAGAGCCAGTTCTGCCTGAGACTAGAGGCCTTGTGTCCTGAGGTCTCCTAAATGTGCTCCCTAGCCCAAGTCTGATGCATTAGTCATCAACAAGAGAGGTGCCTGGGGGCTGGCAAAGTGGATCCCTGCACATACCATCTGTGGATTGAGCTACCACAGGAGGGAGTCAAGGACCAGGTGAGGCAGAGTCACTACCCTGAGCCTGGCATGTTGCACCACGTAAGTGTATGCGGCCATGTGTCCTAGGAGTCTTAGGCAGTTCCGTGCTGTGGTGTTGGGAAACTGCCTGAGATGCCGAATGATGCTGCCTGTGGCCTGGAACCTTGTTTCCGGTAGGTACGCCCTGGCCTGGGTCGAGTCCAGCACTGCCCCTATGAACTATCCTCCGAAGAGGGAACAGAATTGACTTCTCCACGTTCAGGAGAAGGCCCAGTTCGTCAAAGGCTGCAATGATGAATCCGACTTGCGCCTCCAATAGAGCCCTGGGTCAGTCAGTCATCACGGTACGGGAAAAAAACGGTTACTTACCTTTCTGTAACTGTTGTTCGAGATGTGTTGCTCATATCTATTCCAGTTAGGTGTGCGCGCGCTGCGCTCACAGATGTCAAACTTTTACCCTAGTAGCTACCCGTTGGGCCAGCTGGGGAGCCCCCTGGAGGGGCGCCGATATGGTGATCCATATAAGCCCCTGCCGGCCTGACCGCCCTTCAGTTCCTTCTTGCACTCCCACAGAGGAAGGTGGGGGGGAATGGAATAGATATGAGCAACACATCTCGAACAACAGTTACAGAAAGGTAAGTAACCGTTTTTTCTTCGAGTGATTGCTCATATCAATTCCAGTTAGGTGACTCCCAAGCCTTACCTCGGAGGTGGGGGTCGGAGTCAAGGAACCGCAGATTGAAGGATCGCTCTACCAAAGGCTGCATCATCCCGAGAGTGCTGGACGATGGCACAGTGGGACGTGAAGGTATGAACCGAGGCCCATGTGGCAGCCCTACAGATTTCCTGAAGAGGAATGTGTGCCAGAAAGATAGCGGATGATGCCTGAGCTCTCGTGGAGTGAGCTGTAACAGCAGGCGGGGGGACGTTTGCCAGATTATAGCAAGCACGAATGCACCTGGTGATCCACGAAGATATTCATTGAGAGGAAACCAGGGCGCCTTTCATCCGCTCCGCAATGGCGACAAACAACTGGGTTGTTTTACGAAAGGGCTTTGTCCGGTCTGTATAGAAGGTGAGTGCCCTTCTAACGTCGAGAGAATGGAGGCATTTACATATGTCAGCATGCGGTTTTGGGTAGAAAACCGGTAGAAAGATATCCTGGCTCACATGGAAGCGGGACACCACTTTTGGTAGGAAGGCCGGGTGAGGTCTTAGTTGGACTTTATGAAAGATGGTATAGGGCGGCTCACAGGTGAGAGCGTAGTTTGGAGACCCGTTGAGCGGAAGTGATGGCCACTAGGAAGGCAACCTTCCAGGAGAGAGAGAGAGAGAGGAGGGGAAGAGAACAGGTGGCCAGTGGCTCTAAAGGAGGGCCCATAAGGCAGGAGAGGACCAAGTTGAGGTCCCATGCAGGCACTGGTGGCTTCATTGGAGGATGGATTTTCTCCAGGCCTTTGAAAAAAAAAAAGCCGCACGACCGGGTGTGCAAACCTAACTGGATATGAGCAATCATTCGAAGACCACCACCTGTACCTGGCGCCTGTGCAGAAATGTGGCCATGCCCGCCATTCATTTGGTAAATACAAGGCGCTGCTGACAGGCCAAACAGGAGGACTGAACTGGAAGTGGTTGTTGTGCACCACAAACCTGAGGAATTTCTGTGGGACGGTGTGATTGCTATATGAAAGTAGACATACTTCAAGTTGAGAGCGGCATACCAGTCCCCTGGATCCAAGGAAGGGATAACGGAAGCCAAGGAGATCATGCAGAACTTGAGTTTCTTGATGAACTTGTTGAGCTCTCGCATGTCTAGGATGGCCCTGAGCCCGCCTCCGACTTTCGGTATTAGGAAATACTGGGAATAGAAGCCCAGGAGCAGAAGGGCAAGAAGAACCTATCCCACTGCCCCAAGCAAGAGGAGCGATTGCACCTCCTGAATAAGGAGTTGCTCATGAGAAGGGTCCTTGAAGAGGGATGGGGAAGAGGGTGGAAGGGTAGAGAATTGGCGTGACTATCCCCTCTCTATCATGCGGAGTACCCAGTGGTCCAATGTAATGGTACCACACATAGTAGAAAGGGGATAGACAGGACGAAAAGGTAAGGTGGGATGCCTGTTTTGAGCCTGACGAGGGGTTTAGACTGGCCAGAGGAGGGGTGAGGTCTCTTCCTTGAGTTCCTATTCCTCCTGCACCACCTGTCTGGCCTACCCTGAGGTTGATAATTCCTCGGTGGGGTGGGAGGAACCGGGGTCTGAAGTACCTCCACTGGTTGGCAGGGGTGTGGAGGCCCATGGACTTCAAGGTGGCCGGAGAGTCCTTGAGGCTGTGCAGATGAGAGACAGTCTTCTCTGAAAACTGAAGACTGACCCTCGAAGGGGATATCCTGAATTGTCTGCTGCATCTCATATGGTAGGCCTGAGACTTGCATCCAGGAACTCCTTCTCATAGCCACCCCTGAAGCCATGGTGCAAGAGGCTGCATCCTCTGCGTCCAAGGCCACCTGCAGGGACACATGGGAAAGCAGTTGGCCTTCCTCGACTAGTGTGGAAAACTCTGCACAAGAGAGTCTGTGTAGGCAGGAGCTCTGAACTTTTCCATTGCGCCACAGGTAGTATAGTTGTATCTGCCAACCACCGCCTGATGGTTAGCAATACGAAACTGCAACCACCCGTAGAGTATATTTTTCTTCCAAAGAGGTCGTTTTTTGGCCTCACAGTTCTTGAGAGAGGATCCCTGGAAGCCCTGGTGCTTGTGCTGGTTAGCTGCGTCCACTACCAGGGAGTCTGGGAGAAGGGTGAGTTTGTGTATACAAACGTTCATACCTTTGAGAAGGAACAAAAGTACCTCCGCTTGTACCTTTTCAAGGTCAGTGGCAACAAGGATGGGGTCTGCCACAGTCTTAATGGCATCACTGATCATTTTGATCACCACCAGCCCAATAGGGGATGGCCGGGAAGGGGAGAGGATGTCGACCATTGGGTCCGCTTCCTAGACCACCACCTCCATTTTGATATTAAGGTCACTTGTCTCAGAAGCTGCTGAAAGACCTTCTGTCCTCTAAGGCTGGAGCGGTTGAGGAACCCACCACCACCTCATCCGGCAACGAGGAGGAGGAGATGGTGGCCGGTACTGGGGCCTGTTCCCTGCCTTTGGCCCCCCTGGGGGTGAGGAGAACTGGTGCTGCGGCTGGTGCCTCCAACATCAGTCAGCTCAGTGATCGGTTTTGAGGGCAGTGCAGCAACCCACGCCCCCGTCACCAGTGGCACAATCAGTGCTGCGGTCACTGATGTTGAAGCAGAGACAGTGGACGTTGGCAGATGGGTCCCTGCCGGGATGACCAGCGTGGAGGGCTTACGCGGCTGCGCAAAAGAAGCTGAGGCCACCAATGTCAATCTGGAACCCTGGCTCTGCCGATAGGCCCAGGGTGTCCAGAAGGGCCATTGAGGGGCCTGCCACTGGTTCAGCCATGGCGCCAGGTACGGCTGTCCGTCGCAGCAGGAGCAGGCTCTTCTGCTCCTACTAGAGCGCAACGCCTCCGCTTCCAACTCAGAGGTCTCTGAGGACCACGGAGCCCCTTGATGCTGGAGAGCGGTGCCAACTGGGGGATCGGAGTGGCTCCCCACATGGGTCGCCAGTGCCGCAGGACGATGCAACGGAGACGGTGGTCTTATGGCCGACATAATCGCTGGTTTGCCCATAGAATGTATGGTACCCGTAACTGGTGCCGACGGCCTCACCCGCCTAGGAGGTGAAGGTGGCGCTGTGCCAAAAGTCCACTGCCACCTCGAACGCCACTGGCGTGGAGGGGAGCTATAGGTCCTTGTGGTGGTGGGCCAATGAGTGGTGTGAGCCGGACTCAACTGGACTTGTCCCGGGGCAGGAGGGGATGGAATCCCCACCAAATGGGTGCCCGATGGGGGCTTGCTGGCCAACTGGTCTTTAGACCTGGTTGGGGAGTGCCCTCTGTTGGCCTTTCCTTTTGAGGGGCACTGGGGAGTGGGACCTGTGGGCGGAGCTGTGACTGTGCCGAGGGTGTCTAGCAGAGTCCTTCCTCGGGACCAGCTCGCACATCGACAGTGCCGGAGCTAGAGGAGAAAAAAAAAATCTTCCGGCTGTCGTGCACGCAGCGCGCGCGTACCTGACTGGAATTGACATGAACAAGCACTCGAAGAACTACTAAAGATTGTAAGCTGTTTGGAGCAGGGACTTTGTTTGGTATCTATTTGGTGCTTAGCACAAGGGGGTCCTGGTCCATGACTGGCGCTTCTAGTCACAATGGTAATACAAATTAACAATGTTAGACTGTATTGAAACTTGAGCATGTACAGCTCCATTTGATTCAAAGGAGTTATGGCATATCCCACTCTTAGGGTAACAGGCTGTTCTCCTGAGAATGGGGACTGCATCAACCTTCCCCATGGATGAAGATTAGATTACTAAACCATTAAATAAAAGCAGACCAAAAAAAAAACAAAACAAAAAGGTACTGTCTTGGTTACTGATGAAGGCTGTTGGATGGGCTCATGTTTTATCTAGAGAAAGAGCAAGGATTAAAAAGGAAAACTGAAGATTTTCAGCAAAGCTAGAGGCTAGATCCTAGAACTAGAAAAGTCATAAGTTATCACCTTGTATTGTTCTTCAGTACGGTAATCTGGCCACTGTCAGACAGAAATAAGCAATGATTAAAAGATGTCACTACTAAAAATTGTACACATTAACTTTAGAGAAATCTGAACAGCCTTTCAAAACTGTTCACACCATTGGCAACCACCACTAGCCAGGAAGGCATTTATTGTTTTAATGTGTGTCACATTAGATGTTCATAATTATACAAATAAGTCTTGACTAAATGCAACTTTTATATGATATTTAATTAAGTTCTTTTTTTTCTCCTCTAGATTTGGCCTTCTGGTAAAGCTTAATCTTTAGCAAAGGCTACAATCTTTATTGCACAGCCCTCCTTTAACTTCCACAGAATATTTTACTCAATTTGCTATCAAAAGATCTTGGTATCCTCACTGATAATAGTTTAGAAATAGCAGTATCCTTTCTCCTTCATCCATCAACTATGGTTCCTTGAGGCAGCCCAAACTTGAACTGCCTCCTATGTGAAGTTCATTCCATTTTTTAATGGAGTGGCTGGTTACCCATTTCATCCCTTACTATCCATACCATATCTGATGCAAAATAGTAAGTTTAGAAGTTGAAATAGCTGACAGTCATGGTTGAGAACAGCAGTCTGGCAGACAACTGATGCAAAGAATGTAGCAGGACTAGAGAGATGGAAATGTGCATCAAGTACAGCTTTTCAGGGTATGCCAATACACCCTCTACTCTTTCAAAAAAGGGCCATGGATTGGTTCTCTTTATGTTGTTTTTCTTTTGTTTTATCAAACTCCATCCATCTACAATACAGTATTAGCAAGACTGACTCAGTCTTTCATTCTTCGAACTGGTGGTTCTACCGTATCTAAGTGTGTCAGACCTGAAGCTATGATAATTACTGTCCAATACTGAATTAACTGGAGATGGCTTACTCTATTTGACTTGGGCCACATTACATAACTCTTTGAATTCACAAAGGAAGATTTTTAGGTGTTAAAGTTTTAGATTCAAGAAATTCTAACTCTTGATTTGGCTTCTCTTCAAATATTTAAAGTGGCTTACTTGAGTGTTTCCTCTCAGTAGGACTACATGCCTTATCCCTCCCTTGGGCCTTCCCCATCCTATACCACAGTAACATTTCTTCCATATAGAAATGTCTAGATGAAATTTCCTTTGGTGTCCACAGTTGCATCTCTCCTTACTCATCTGGTTGGTGTAAACTCCCACAGAGGCAGGAGTGTGCCAGCTACCAATACCACTGACTTTCCTCCCTTCACTTCCTGGGCAGTGTCCATAGTCCAATGAGTCAGGTATGCCTGACAACTCCCTATTTAAGGATCTTTAATTCAACCCTATGGTCCAGGGAATCAGCATCTCATGGTATGCCAATTCAAAACAAGTATCTTAAGCACAAACAGTGCCATAAAATAGTTTGCCACTCTAAACATATTAGCCTTATTCAAATTAAGACTTCAGGTTACAGATCTTAGAGTTAAAGTTCTTACCTGCCTTTATTCTCTTTTCCTTTTATTTTGTTTTCTTGGCCTTTGCCTCCAGTAGGATCCCACTCAACATAAGAATCTTCAACTTTCAAGTTCAGATGAGATGATGTATTGTCCAAATTGAAGACAAGTGCTGATCAAGACAAGATTTCCAAGAGTAAAAAGACATGGATTATCTCCCCATGCTGTTTATTTAAGAAAAAAAATTTAGGAGTAGAAGACAACAATGCACTATAAAGTCAAGACTCGTGTTTGTCACGGAGGTCATAGAAGTCAGATTCCGTGACCTCTGACTTCTGCAGCAGCCTGGTGCGGCTGGTCCGGGAGCTGCTTGTGCAGTTTGGGTAGCCCTTGGGCCTGTTGCATTGGCTGTTGCTGGGGCAGTCTTGGAGTTGGGGGTGGGGGTGCGCGCATGGGCCTCAGGGCTGGGATGCAGAGTGGTGTTTACCTGGGGGGGAGCTCCCCAGAAGGGCAACAGGAACTCCCCTCCCTCAGCTCATAGGTCCACATGCTGCCTCTGCAGCTCCCATTGGCTGAGGTTCCCAGCCAACGGGAGCTGCAGAACTGAGGCTTGGGGTGGAAAGGAGACAGCACATGGAGCTAGGGTCACTGCTTCCCAGGAGCTGGGTAAGGAGCCTGCCTCAGCTGCACCATCCCACCCCCCTCTCCCCTGTGGCAAACCCTGCCCCCCAAACCCCCAAATTTTACTCATGGGTATATAATAAAATTCATGTACAGGTCACATGCCATAAATTTTTTGTTTACTGTCCATGACTTTTACTAAAAATACCCATGACTAAAATGTAACATAGTTGGTCTGACTTTTTTTTTTTACTATAAAAAAGTGAAATACAGCCAGTCCAACTGTAGTCTCTGGACCATACCACACACAACACCTTCAAATCAGAGTCTCAGCAATTAAAATTTGAGTATTAAATCAGAGACACTTCCTACTAGTTGCAACCTACACCAAGATTTATAGTTTGAGAGATAGTGACAAAAAACTAAGCCCATCTTCTGCTCTCCATATCACTGTCTTCAGCAAGCTATTTCTGTGATGAAGATTTAACTGTCATAATCTGTTGATTACAATAAAGCTGAAGGAACAGCAAATACACAGGGACAGTCGAACCGCAAAATGACCTGCAGAGATTAAAGCAGGCATTAGGATGCAAGCAACTAATGAAGATTGAGTAGCAATTACTGTCAAATCCTTCACCCAAGGAGAGAGAAAAACAGACAGCACAGAGTAAAGTAGAGTAGACATGCCAACCAGCTGCAGCCATCATTTTAGAGAGTGGATTTTAAACTCTCCTCTGAATACTGTTCTGCTATTACTATATTTACTGCAGGGAGAAGTGTTTAAGATCAAGAGGTCCACAATTCACAAGCTTGAACCACTGTAATATGCAGATTGAGATCAGAAGCCCACCATACCCAATATAAAACCAAGATAAAAAATTATGCCAGTACTTTGAATCCAACATCTCACTGGAATTTGTTATTTAAGCAAGTTCCATCTTGGTTATTGCTGACTAAGCAAAATAATCGAGCCTCTTGGGAGTTATGCTTCTGAAGCAAGGAGCCTGCCTAATAGTGATTGCCATATTAATAGGTATTACTTAATTAGAACACATTAGAGACTTCAATTTTGCATTTCAATATGCCTATTTTTTTTAAAAAATAATTGCTTTGAGAGTGGAGATTGCAGTAGTGGTCAATTTAAAGACAGTACAATACATTTCAAATGCAGCTGTCCATCATGAAGCAGCACTTACCAGAAGCAAAATGGAATTAGCCAATTTTTCTAAATTTATTAGCCCCCCGCCCTCCAGAATATCCACTGTGTAATCTAAAAAGTTAAATCTTCAGTGTCAACTGTAAGTGACACAAACTGCAGTCTGGAAAACTGACAGCACAATATTGGAATTGAAGATTGATTTTTAAAAATCAAAAAGGGGGGGGGGGGGAGGAAGAACACATGACTTTCCTGAAAGGACATATGGCTCCAGAAATATGTTAAAATGACAGGGTCAGAGGTGACAGCTTAGTGAGATAGGTCTAAGCTTAAAATACCTCATCTCTCTGGAACCAGAGTTCCAAATCCTCTCTGACTTAGCCTTCTATTTTTCCAAAGCAGATGACACTAATGTGGTTTCAGTTCCTTCAAAACTGGAACCTTGTCTATTCTGCATTGACATTAGAAATCTAATTGCCCTTTTTGTAAGAGTGTTGGCCATGGTGGCTCTGGTCCAGAAAAGCTGCCCCTCCCACTAATATAGCGCACGGTCTTGTTCATTGCTGTCGACAACCCAAAACTAGTAGTGATGTTCTGAAGTTGTGTTGAGACATTCTGCTCGGACAGACCGCCACCAACCATATCCCCCAACTCCATAAGCATCACTTGGTGCTCTGAAGAGCAGTAAGTTACTCATCCTGTTGATCTAAAGTATGTTCAGAATATGGCCCTTAAAGGGCAGAAACAAAATCTCAAATTTCAGTATTTGGTTTTTTGATGGGATATACTATATATAAAGTACACTTTCAACTGTGATTGATGTTTATTCACTTTTCAAAATAAAGTGTGGGGTTTTATGTTGTGTCTCAATGAGACCACCCTCCCCCCCAGTTACAACTCTGAATCCACACAGCAATCTACGGACTAAAAAAAGTGTCACTTACAAAAACAGTCACTGACCACAACTTAATAAGGAAAATATTGTGTATATATTCTAACTTATTTGCCATCTAAAAATGTATAGTCTACAGATTAGTATCCAGTATTGAGTGACTATGTGCAATGCTGGGATTTAAAGCATAATAAGTATACCTGCTTTCTACGCTACCTTTCAGTGGTCATGTACTTACCCAAGACAGCTTCACTTGGTAATCCAAAAATTGAAATTCTTGGGAAGTGCTACAGGCTATATGGGTATTCCTTTATTTTCTCGGAGTATTTCTGCAGTTCAAGTTGTTCACTATATGGATCCACAAGACTGACTCCTCAGATATCGGTGCCCTCCCCTCCCACAGCAATCCTCAAACGTTAACCAATAGGCTGTCACCTACATTCAAGTTCTGTGAACAGGTATATAGTGCCAAAGTGCTCAGGAGCAGTCCGTCAAGCTCTGCCCTCACATCAAGCAGCTCCAGGTAATAGCAAAATCTTTCCTCAGAAAAGTTAAATTAACTGCAACCACCACCAACACTTCAGAAACCTGACCAGCAGTTTCAGTAGACATTCTCAGATATTGGAGCCAGGAACGGTTACGTACCTACAGAGATTTTTCAACTTCTAATCGCGCTAGATGTTTATGTACAGTAGAGTAATAGGACAAGGCAGCCTAACAATCCTTTTCCATGTAGGCTCACTAACAAATGACATTTGAATTTCATCCCACAAACCTCGGACTCAAGTTTTCATTGCCTCTTTCTCTGTTGCCATTAGACTGACTGGCTAGAGAGTGCTAAATTCTCCTCAGTGTTTACAATATTGTTTTCCACACATTCATGCAAGGCTACCATGTCATTTTACCTTTAGTCTCCAAAGTCACTGGATCAGAGTATTCCCCTGCCACAGCCTTGTTGCAAGCTCTTACTCGAAAGTTCATGTATTTTGAATCAAATTTCAGTCCTGAAAAAAAAAATTTGAAGCACTTAACGTTTGTCATAATGATAGTGATTAGTTCCATATATTCTAGATTAAGAAAGTAAGAGGAAGGTTTATTTAGCATAGAATGAGGAGGACTAGTAGCTAAGAACAAGGTGACCCAGGTCTCTATAGGAAGGCCCTGTAACTGACCAGTTATCTGGAGGCTACATTCATTTACTGAGTAACATTTGTGTTTGGAATAAGGATGCCCCGTCAACGGCAAGTGTTGTGTATAGTTGAGCATTCCATTTTTGCAGTGTTGTTGTAGCCATGTTGGTCCCAGACATGGTGTAAGCTCAAAAGCTCGTCTTTCCCCAAAAGAAGAGATCTCACCCACCTTGTCTCTAATAGGATTCTGTTACAAACAAAAAAAAACCCCAGTGTTTGTTCAGAGTCACCTCAAGAGCAGAAGACTTTTTAAGAGGGTAAACGAGCAATCTTTACCAGATAATGTATATTCAGTGCCCTTAATATAGTCTATCAGCTCCCAGCAGGTTTCATCTTTTACTCGAGGAAGCCCATCAAAATTAGTTTTCCTATATTCCAATACAAAATGATCAATTTTGTTGTCTTCTTCGGGCATTCTCCATACTATCGTTACAGCGTTGTCAGCTACCAGACACTCTACTGGGTCTATCTCTGGAGCTTTGGGGACTGCAAAACAAACAAAACAAAAGAACATTAGAGTACTGATGAAAAAAGGGTTTGCCACCCCAGTGTTGCAGTCTGTTCCTTTGGATCTACAAAGAGAATCAGAAATTGCCTTTGGTTCAGTAGCACGCATTCCTTTCAGGGATTTTACTCAATTATCTACAAACTGGAACTTAAAGAGCAATAGACGGATATTCTATTTAATACTCTGTCTGTTAAGGGACTATATTAAACACCAAATTAGCATTTTGCTAACAAATACACATTAGCGCTAGGATTAACTTCTACCGTTCTTGTCTTTGTTTTTCTGACAGTACAGGTCAGGCTGACCTCCTTGTATAAACAGTAACAAGTGAACAGAGCTGGTGGGGACTGGCAATTGTGGTTCCATGGCTGGAATAAGCAAGCAGGAAGAACATTTTAAGGAGGTTAAATTGTCTTAAGGCTCTTTCAGACAGATCTTTTTACAGAGCACTCAGAGCTAGAGCCCTGATATAGGATCATGCAGCAAGAGCCTGCTTCCATCACTTTAGAAAAAGGTTGGTTTATAATATTTGGATACAAGCACCACTACACAGATTTACAACGTAACGTTTCCAGAGAAAACAAGGTACATACAGATACTACAGTGACCTGAACACAAAGCATTTACTAATGAGTAAAGAGTGTGTGTGTGTGTGTGTGTGTGTGTGTGTATATAGATATAGATAGAGAACTTGTATCAAAACATTAGTAGACTTGTGTTTTTATGGTTTTTCTTCTGTAGTGTATTTTCTAGCAAAATCCAAGCAAAAGGATAAGAGCTAAAAAGCAAACTAGCTTCTCACCGCCAGGACACTGAGGAAAGTATGTTTCCAATAATTATAATTTAGGTTTACTCAAATTACTGTGTTTTTATTTTGTTATCCTCCAAATCCTCTAATCTCTCTGAAATCAGTTGACATAAGATGATCTCAGGTACTTCAAGTACCATATTAAAAAAATTCAACTTCCTTTACTAAGCCATACTGCATTAAGTTTTGGATTAACCTTACACTAGAAACAAAACTCACTTCTTACTCCCAGTGTGATACCGGGTCATATTGCAGAACCTCAGCATCTCATGACACCAGCTACCCAAGAAACGCATCAGGGCACATTCTACAACTTGAACCAATTTCACTATATTTCTCTTTCCCATCTAATCCCCAAATATTAACATCCGAGGCACACATCATGTGTGGAGCAGGAAAGAGGCAGCATCAGAAGTTGGGTGCATGACAGAGTAATATACTAATGGATAGCAGACAAAGTAGGATTTAAAACCTTAAAACAAAAAACAAACCACCTTACCAGTGGTCCATTTTAATCAAATGGAATTTCATATGTTTCTTTCTGAATGCAAAACAATGCACAAAGCAAGCAAAAAAGTAAGTAGCCAATTACAGCTGAGTTCATGACCAAAACTTTATTTCATCAGTAAGCTGAAACCAAGAACTTCAGGAGTCAAATTTACATTGACAGGAAAGGAAAAGTATCCATGCATTTCTTGTTCAAGAATCTGTTTTTGCCTATAAAGAAAAAAACATTCTCTACCTAATAAACAACTTCTGCAGTTTTCAAAAGGGTCCTGAAAATAGTTTTGAAGTATGCTTGCTCACAACCCATTAGATATTTTATTTCCCTGAGGCCTGCCACTTTGCAGCAAGCTATTCCTCTGACAAGTCACATTAAAATGCATTAATGGAGTTTCATATTTAGACCTATTTCTGTGGAAGTACATTCCATTTACAGTAGGGGGATGCGGGGGAGGGGGGGGGGGGGAGATCACCAACGATCAGCCCTGTAAATAGTCCGAGTTCGGATTCAAGCTGGTTCTTTCCATGTCATGCATCATCACCAATAGACATTCTGCAGTCGAACTTAGACCCGTAATTAAATATTGAAGAACTATGGTCTTCAAATTGAGACTTAAGTTACATCTGTAACACTGCTGCTTTTCACTGAGTTTTCACAGATGTAGCCAATTGAAACTTTTATATTAATTCTTTTTCAGCTTTTGAAGATGCTGAACTTAGAAGCCTAATGTTTTTAATATCAAAAGGCATGTAAATTATATTCATGTAAATACTTCATAGTGACAAACATTCAGTACCATCAGGTTGGTTTTGATTTCTAACAGGAAGTTTTCCCCATCTGAATACACAACAGTAGCACATTTACCAAGTAAGGTGGTGCCATTTTCTGTCACTTTTTAGAGCTGAACACTTGGTTATTTAATCACTATGCAGGGCTCCGGTTCAGTGTGCTTGTTCCATATATCCCAAATGAAGGTCAGTCATAGGGACAGACACCACCACTGAAGAGAGACAGACTATTTATTGGGGAATTTATTAAGTCTCTTCATCACTGAAGCAAACAATTGTTTTTACTGATATAGTAGTACAGCTTAAATTGCAGCATGCTTAAACAGCGATGCACACTTCAGTAGAAGAGTGCAAGTTATAATTCAATGATCCCAGCAGGTGTGTCAAAGTGCATGAAACATGTCGGAGTGGTAAAAATTACCTAAAATTTCAATTTGCATTGAAGACCAGACATCTCACAGAAATCTTTGAAAAGCTTAGTCTTGCTTTTATTGTACAGTTTCTCTTTATGCAAATGGACCCTAGTCAGTCAGAGCATGAGGGGGGGAAAGAAAAGGGAAGATATTCCACTTGAAGTTACAAAACAAAGAAGGTTTGTGAGTGCACAAAATACTCACTCCAGCTCAGTTCTCATAGCATGAAATGCATGTAGCATTAAGCCAGAGAGTTGCACATTTATAGCTTGCCGAGAGGAGATATGGTGCCCTCCACTTTGTTTATTAGCCTTCCCAGCAGAAGCAGAAAGTCTTCTTCAGTCTATGTACCTATCCCACGCAGCCAGCCTCCCAAGCATGCGATGTTGAAGAGTTACTGAACATTTTTAAATAGCACAACTTAAATGTAAATGCTTTTCACTTCTCACAAGGGTTATTTGAATAGAACACAGGACAAGTTGTAGTCATAAAACTTGATGTTCCAGCAGGGCACGTGGTTTACAAAACATTTGGGAATTGCCAAGTTGTATAGGGATTGAGAACAAAGGTTTATGAAAGTGGTAAGCTAAAATTTTTAGAGAATCACAAACAATTCTAACTGGTTTAAAGAGAAATATAGTAGTATTTGGAGAGAAGAAGATTATAGAAGTCAGCCACCAACAGGTTAAGAGTTTGAGAGAAATACTAAGACATCTATCATACAGAGGCCATGCCAGCAATTTTTGAAGCACCTACCGCTACCCATTATTTTTGGCATTTTATTATATGCCAGATTGAAAGAATCTAGTCTTTCTTGTGTTTAGAAGTTCATGTGTTTTAGAAGTTGTAAGGTACCAATACCATTGTGATTAGCATTATATAAATGCCTAGATATCACCGCCTCACCAAGTTTGGGATTTCAAACTGTGTGAATCAACCCAGTTTAAGTTTTGCCTGCAAGAATCTGTGCTGCTATAAGTAGTGACAGAGCTCTGTACCAAATAGTTACAAGCTATCCACTAGATATACAAGTTATCCACTAGAAAGAAAAAAACCAAACAGTGATATCCTTACAGTTGATCTTTCCATATTTAAATGCCAAGTGCTGGATTATCTTGCATGAGCAAGTATGTAGCTAACCAAAATTGTGTTGAAACTGGCTGTATAACAAAGGTTAACTGAAAATTTTTCTAGTTTAAGGAATGTAATTTTTTTTCGCTTTAGTACCTACAAATGTTTTGACAGCACTGGTCACTCAAGTCCTCCATTTGTCGTCCCACATAACAAGTACAGTATACAAGCATCATTTCAAGCTTCCTCCCTTATCTAGAAAGGGTAAGAGGATAACCGAGTTGCCATTTTCATCCAGAGTCTAAGGACTGAATGGTAATTTCAGCACAGCTCATCACGAGTTGCCAATTAAGCATCATGATAGTGATTTGAGACAAAACACTACGCACAGGACCAAGATTGCCTCCACATCATACAGTGAAAGTGACCATGACTGCCAGCAGGAGGCTTAATAGCTCTGGAAACAGTGTTGAGGTTATTAATTCCCGCACCAAAGGAAAGTCTTCCTTAAGTTGGAGCTCAGGCTGTAAATATCAGCAATTTAAAGTTTAGAGGACTGTTGCCTTTGAGAATCTAACATCTAATCCAGGAAATTCAAAGCTCAGATCATATTTTGAAAGGAAGTATAGAAAGGAAGTCAAAGGAACTCAAACACTCTTGCCTCTGCACTTATATCCCTGGCATCTTGTGAACTGAATGAAGTAGTAACATGTCAGACAAGACTCAGCTTGTGAATATGTTAAACACTTGATACCTTGCCAGTGCATGTATGATCTTAGGCAATTACCTATGATGGCAAAGGAACAAGTACAGGTCTGGGAGCAAAGAACAAGTTCCATTCCCACCTTTGTTGACTGGCCCTACTACTGTATAAAAGGTCTATATGTGTGCTACCACCTTTATGAAGTAGATGTTAGAGATCTGATATTTGCCAAGATATATAAAGCTTTAGTAAATGCTGAAGAAACTGCTCAAGGTAGCTGAAAAAAATCCACATATTAAAATGCATGAATTAAACTACTGTTTATCCCAGATATCTTATAGTATAAACATTCAATTCACTACAGGACTTAGTTTTACCTGGCAAAAACTTTAAAGCCTGGAGCATCTGCCTTTCCTGAGAGAAGTCCACCATCAAATGAGTCATGTTATCACTGACCTTTGGTTTCAAAGAGATGCGGAATGCTGAAGCCATTGTGACTCTACAGGAAAGAAAGGTTTATTAGGAAAATATGGTTCATATTTTGGAAATTCTATACTCAGGAAGTTAACTTTTGAGGTGTGTCAAAACCATGTGATTCTTTATAATTCACTTCAGAAGTTGCTACAGGTTTGAGTGTGCTGTTCTTCCCTTATATATGAAAAATCAGCTCCCACATTTTAAAGTGGTGTTTACAACCAGTTTTCTGCAGTTTAAGTTAAAAGAAGTGTTTCACTGCTGTGAGAATCTCTCAAAAGATCTGGTGTTAGTTGCAAGTGCCTCCCTCTCACTTGATCTGCAACACTGAGTCCATGTAAGACAACCTAGACGTTACTAAAAAGACTTCAGGCCTGATTCTCCCATGCTTTGGGGTATTCATTTAAACCTGTGCAGACAGAGTAACACTAGCCACTGAAAGTGAAAAATTCTGATTTGGTAACATTTTACAGCCACTTTGCACAAGCCTAGGATCATAGGACTGGAAGGGACCTCAGGAGGGTATCTTGTCTGGTCCCCTGAACTCATAGCAAGACTAAGTATTATCTAAACCATCCCTGACAGGTGTGTGTCTAACCTGCTCTTAATCTCTAACGATAGAGATTCCACAACCTCCCTAGACAATTTATTCCAGTGCTTAACTACCCTGACAGAAAGTTTTTCCGTGACGTCCAACCTAAACATCTCTTGCTGCAATTTGAGCTCATTGCTTCTTGTCCTATCCTCAGAGGTTAAGTACAATTTTTCTCCCTCCTCCTTGTAATACCTTTTCAAGAACATAAAAGGTTATGTCCCCTCTCAGTCTTCTCCAGACTAAACAAGCCCAGTTTCCAGCCCCCCAATCTTCCTTCATAGGTCATATTTTCCAGACCTTTAATAGTTTTTGTTGCTCTTCTCTGGACTGTCTCCAATTTGTCCACATCTTGAAATGTGGTGCCTAGAACTGGACACAATACTCCAGTTGAGGCCTAATCAGCACAGGGAGGAAGAATTACTTCTCATGTCTTGCTTAAAATACTCTTAATACATCCCAGTATGATGTTTGCTAGTTTTTGCAACAATGTTACACTGTTGACTCATTTAGCTTGTGATCCATTAGGACTCCCAAATCCTTTTCAGCAGTACTCCTTCCTAGGCGGTCATTTTCCATTTTGTATGTATGCAACTGATTGTTCCTTCCTACATAGAGTACTTTGCATTTGTCCTTATTGAATTTCATCCTATTTACTTCAGACTATTTCTCCAATTTGTCCAGATTTTGAATTTTAATCCTTATCTCCAAAGCACTTGCAACCCCTCCCAGCTTGGTATCGTCCACAAACTTTATACGTACACTCTCTATGCCATTATCTAAATCACTGATGAAGAGATTGAACAGAACTGGCCCCAGAACAGATCCCTGTGGGACCACACTTGTATGCCCTTCCAGCTTGACTGTGAACCACTGATAACTACTCTCTGGGAATGGTTTTCCTACCAGTTATGCACTCACTTTATAGTAATTTCATCTAGGTTGTATTTCCCTAGTTTGTTTATGCGAAGATCATGTGAGACGCTATAAAAAGCCTTACTAAAGTCAAGATATACATCTATCACTTCCCCACCCATCCACAAGGCTGGTTACCCTGTCAAAGAAAGCTATTAGGTTGGTTTGACATGATTTCTTCTTGACAAATCCATACTGATGTTACTTATCACCTTATTATCTAACAGGTGTCTGCAAAGTGATTGCTTAATTATTTGCTCCATTATTTTTCCAGGTACAGAAGTTAAGCTGACTGTAATTCCCTGGGTTCTCCTTATTTCCTTTCTATAAATAAGCACTATATTTGCCCCTTTTCCAGTCCTCTGGAATCTCTCATCTTCCATGACTTTTTGAAGATAATCACTAATGACTCATATCTCCTCAGTCAGTTCCTTGAGTATTCTAGGATGTATTTCATCAGGCCCGGGTGACTTGAAGCATGACGAGATGAAAGACAAGGCATTGAAGAATTAAGGCTTTAGTCTGATTCTCAGATTTCAGAAAGTATTAAACCCAACAACATTTCAAGTATCAACTTATTTGTCCATTATTAGAAATGCTTTAGCTGCCAACACTGTGGAACACAACTTGTTCCTCAATTACAGAAGACCATTAAAGATTTCAATATAAAGCACCTTAAGTCTTCCACTGAAGAAAATTCCAGTTGTCTCTTTAAAATGCAGATTCCCATTTTGAAAATACTGGACACTACTCAGAAACAAGATCTGTTTTCTGCTGAATCAAATAGGCATGATTTATTAGCACCACCTTACTCATCTTATTTAGGGGATGAGAAGAGGTTAGTTGTATACAAAATATATATAACCAGTATCATAGTAGAGACTGGAGCATAGAATAGTTAACAGCTTTCATGTTCACTCTCGGATCGGACTTCTTAGCTCCAGAAACAGCAGAGACTGATACTGGTATGATAACATCCCCATTCTATATAAGTGGGAGGAAGTAGGAAAAGGAAAATAAGTGCCTTCCAGCTAGGTCTTTAGCACCTTATAACAAAGTTGTACAGCATTACCTGGAGTGCTGTCCATCTGTCAAATGCTCTTCTGAAATCAAACGTTCAACCTATCCTATCCACTTTTTAGAAAAATATGAAACATTTAAGAAAAATCAAGTTCTGAAAAGTAGCAACGAATGACATGCTGTTTCAGAAGTCAAAAGTTGGACAAAAGAAGCATTTCTACCAAATTCACATCCAGGGATCTGTGACATCTGAGAAGTGGCTACCAACAGGATTCTTAAGTGTTTTTGTGAAGGAACAGGAAGGACACTTATCCCCATACCCACCCCATGAAAACAGACAGTCTTAGGCCTTGGCTACACTGGCACTGTACAGCGCTGCAACTTGCTGCGCTTAGGGGTGTGAAAACTCCCCCAAGTGCAGCAAGCACAGCGCTGTAAAGTGCCAGTGTAATCAGAGCCTGCAGTGCTGTACGCTCGCTCGCAGTGCTGCAAGCTATTCCCCTCTGAGAGGTGGAGTACATACAGCGCTGCAAGAGAGCTCTCGCAGCGCTGGCGGCGCGACTACACTCGCACTTCACAGCACTGCCGCGGCAGCGCTGGGAAGTCTCAAGTGTAGCCAAGGTCTTACTGAAACTACAGTTACAATAGTGAGTGAATCAAGCACAAAAACAGGTTTTAGCAGTGTAGACAGTGAGGGAAGAGTAAGTAGTAACAGATCTTAGAGAATTGATGGAGAAAGCAAATAGTGCAGAGGATGACAGGTTGCCGGGGGGAAAAAGACAACGTAGTTGGCACTAAAAAGAGCAGACGCACTGTGGCCATTTAATTTCCCAAAATAGTTAGAGCAGGAATCAAAATTGGAAGATATTCCATTTCAAAAGGTTACTAAATTTTGAGCTATTACAAGATCAGTTCGAACTCTGACCCAGTCCCCAATAACCTCAGACACCTAATTAAACAGACTGGCATAAAATTAAGGTTATGAAAAATCATCAACCTTCCTAAACAGTGGAGAGAAATCTGAGAATAAAGTTTCAATTTGATACTTCAGGAATTCATGTTCTTATTATAAAACATTGAGGACAAGTGAACTAAAGATGGAATTTTAGAATTCCAAGCCATCAGTTTTAGACTCCATGAAATTATTCATGATTGTGATAGCCGTGAAATAGTTAGATCTCAGAATCGGACAGAGGCCTCTCAATCTCTGAATGAAAGGGATTATACACCTGCTACTGGAGTATTTAAACTGTCTTGTCCAGATGGTGAAGTGGCCTCAGTTATCTAGGTTCTGAGTTTGACGACTTGACCTTATCCATTTTTAGACCTCCATTCTTTTTAAGTTTTCCACCTGACTGTCACATCCTCAAAAGTTTAAAAAAAACCTAGCATTTCCTGCAGAGAATTTTACAGTGTGTTGGTAATCCTAAAAACTACTAGTTCAAAGTGGCAGTACCCATGAGTTCCGGGAGTCTAAATAGGATTTACTTTGACAAGCAGCTCAATATCCAATACCAGTAGCCCTATAGCTCACAACTAAGTCAGAAGTACTTGAGTTTTCCCATCACCAACTTTCCAGCATGCATCACTAGCAGCCCCACAGCTATCACTGCTCAGCCAACAGACTAAGCCCCAAAAGTGCAACAGCTTGGTTGACATTATTGACAACTCAAGGTTCTGTTAGTTACAAATTGTCCAAGCAGAAACTCCCCGCAACTACAACCTAGTTGTGAAACTTCTGCATGTCTGGCCAACACAGCCAGCTGTATAGGGATTCACTGTTCAAACTGGCTGAATGCTGCTAGAGTAGCTTCATGAGCTTGGAAGGGATAACAGGAGGCATGCTACTTTTCAAAGAGCTGAAGCACATTAAACAAAACTTCTGCCACCACCATTCTAAATTTTTCTATTAAGGGTTCTCTATTTCTGCTTGGACTGGGATAGAAAGCTTAGTTTCCCATAGCAATCAGTTTACCTTGGACATGAAGTCCAGCATGAAACTAGCTTTTTTTTCTTTGGCAACTGACTTGTTAGTTCTCATGAAAATGTTTGACTCAACAGCCAACCTGCTGGGTCAGTGGAAGCAACCTATTCTGGAAACTCTTGGAAAAGCTGGTCTTCCACATGCTGTATACAGCTTGTGTCTAAAAGCTTTAAAAGTGCTTCCATTCTCTATGGAGACCCACTGAGATGCCTGAGTTTGCTGGGCACATTTTGAATAGATTGTCCTGGTCCAGAAGAAAGATGTGCTTACCTTAACATTGTTTCACCATAAAATACTTGGCAGATTAGAAGTTTTCCACTCTAAAAAGTTGATTTAAGTATATGTTGAAGACTCTTCACATCCAGAGAGAAACGCCTTGGCAAAAGATCACTAACTCAGGCAGTAAACCCACTAGCATCAGCACTGGTGATACCACCAGAAAGACATTCATTCTTTGTAAACATTAGAATAACTTAGCTAGAAAAAGAGTCTAGCTACAAGGCATCCCCTCACATTCAAAACAGAGCATTAAGCCTGCAGAACTTTTTTTAAATTGGGATCCTATATTTCAGAATTTAAAGGGAAACTGTCAACTTGATAAAAATAGATTTAAAAACGGTTTTCAAATTTTACACCCGTTTGTCTCACCACACTTTCTGGATTGTTACCTATTTCTCTCCCCCTGTTGCTGTGTGAAAGACTCACAAAAGGAGGAAGAGGTTAACCAGCTAGACAGGGGAGAGTAGGAAACTGACTATATGGAATGCCATCAAATGTATATAATTTTTCAATTGTGATACTCTTGTAAATATCTAAAAGTATCAGAAAGAAGTTGACTGTGCCCTTTAAGACTGACTTTTGAGTTCAGTGAAAAGATATTAACAATTAAAAAGCAAGAAGTTTTGTAGAAGGTTTTGTACCGTACCTATCTTTGATCTGTCTGGCAGCCTTGGTGCATATCAGGGAGAAGAGAGAGAAGGTAATTAGTGCTTCCATGCAAGTCTCAACTGCAGTAACATGCAAGAAGAGTTAATTATGAATCCCACAGCTATGCAGCTCAGATTCAAACACCGAACAATATTTTACCACTTTGATACAAGATTTTTCTTTCCATAAGCTTGTGTTAATGCACAATATTAGAAATGCTGTAATAAGTCAGATCAAAGCAATCAACTTGAAAAGCCACACCAAACCAACTCCAAATTACTGGGCTTCTTTTCTAGTGCAAGATCAGATATCCAGTTTATCACTTTAAATTTCTTCCTGCATCCATAATTCCAAATTTAAAAGGAAAAAAATGTACAAAGACAGCAGCATTTACTTAGCTTCTGCTCTTTTGAATCAATAGTGCAAAGTACTTGTTTTGCTACCAATGGTATTTATCCATACCCTGTCAGGGGCCTAATTTCTTGTGGAAGAGGTATCAGAGGAAAGGAAAAATTCCTTCTGAAAGTTATTGTACTGTTTCGTCAATCCTACTCTACTGTAGATTTTCCCCGTGTATTCCTCAGAAGCTCCAATATATGGACTTGCACAAGTATTCAACTTCCTGCTATTATTGTAGTATACCCAGAATCAATATGGCTGATCTACAGGTATCAAAATCTTAAGCTTAACATTTAAAAACAGGGAGGCCTGGTCACATTTAAGAATAAAAAGGTTATTGGACAAGTTAACAGTAATGAGCTAGGTGGATTCATCCACCCAATAGTCTTTCAGCTAGAGTTTCTAGTTGGTTTGAGGTTGCCTCCAACTCAGATAGTTAATCCTCAAAATAAAACTCAAGAAACAGCACCAGAAAGCCTAGGACATTTCTTTAGACATAAAAGTATTTTACAAATACTAATAGAACGGTTCTTGTTGATTACAAGCATGTTTACATAAAAATCTTTCCATTGGAGAATACTTTTAAATTTCCATAGGTCACAGTTGGAAACCTAAACTGTGCATGTCTGGAAATTTAAGCTACACAGTAACACCAGTCAAGTTTATTTATTTAAGAGTATATCTGCTTAGAAATACTTTAGAGACATTATTGGTTTGACAGGAAAGTCTAGTAGTAAGGAAATTATACTACAATATCACACAAGGGTTTCATTGGGGGGGGGGATCTTATGTTGACATTCATCTAGTACAATTACAATCAATTTGCTATATATAGTTGGACTATTTCAACCTACAAAAAGCAGTAAGGCTGAAATTCACTTCAATTTAGAGTGCCTGCAGAGGAGAATTTCACTCCAAGTGCCCTTATTTGCTAAATAGCCGTTGTGTAAAGTATACTAAAAATAGAGTTGGATCAATGACATTCCTCACCAATTTGTTACCGTACTCAAGGGAGGAGATCCTACTTTGGCAACTCTAGCAGGATCTTATGTAGTAGCTCTTGTTTACAATTCCTAGTAGCTGCTCCTTTAAAAAGAAAGAATCAACTTTTTGAAGGGGGGTGGAGGGGAACTTCTTGAAACTAAGATCTACTTCTCCTAGAACCAGGATTTAAGGATGTTCCAGGGAACCCAGAATCCATCCTGTCATTTCTCTAATGAAGCAAACATGTAGGTCTCAATCATGCAATTACCCCTTTAAAAAAAAAAACCACACCCCACACACCTGAAAGATGAATCAGTTAGTTTCTGTACTGAGAAGGAAGATGAACATCTCATTTTAGAAATGAGAATTGCTGATCTAATGAGCTGGCTCAGCAGACTATGCTAGGAGACATTTACAGTTGATCCAATTTTCTTCTCTTGACTACCATGACTGACCATGAATGGAGCTTTTAATGCTGTTCATGGTTTTTCCGTGTCAATTTCAGTGAAAAACGATCTAAATTGCTCAGCTTGTTTCAAAAATTCACAGAAGTCCAATTCACTAAATATCACTTGTGACAAAAAAGAAAATCCATCCTCAATCAGAGTTTAAATGCAGTAGACATGAATAGGATTCAACATCTCCCCCCACATTGAGATAGCTGTTCTCAAATTAAGTGATTAACTCTGAAACAAAAGATTCCCTGTATTAAGGGATTTTACATGTTATTGCAAGCTGAATGACTCATTAACTGACTAGCCATACAAAAACGGTGTATTTGGCTCTACTCAGCAAGGAGCATGAACCGATAACATGTCAAAATAGTGACTTGCATCAATTCAACAGTGTGGCCATAAGGGACATTTAAATTTAGACTTGATGTATTTAAACTGATCAAATGCAGTTTGTGTCTAAAAATTAAATAGAAACTTGCAAGAAGAAGAAAGAAAAAAAAAAAAAAAAAAAAAGTACTTGTGCTCGCTGTCCAGGCAAGAAGAGAGTCAATCAGTACCAACCCTGCTTCTTACTGCCATACATGGAGTCATTTTGACCATCTTCAGCTGAGACAGGACCATGGAAACATTTAAATGAAGACGTTCTGCAGAGAACTTAGACCATTACTATGGTTCACAAGTAGGTATATATATCCAGTACCTTCCTATCAAGTTTTTACTTTGTGGACCTATGGAAATAAATTTAAAAGTTGTGCCCTGTATAAATGTCACAAAATTGCAATGGCTGGAATATTTGTCAGTCAACTCTACTGCTCCCATTTCATTTAATAATTAACACTTAGATCAAGTCTCACCCCATTTTAGAGATGTATCATTTATGTACACAGAATCGGTCTTGATGCACTGAACAATATTCCAAAGCTAAAAGAAGGAGTTCTACAAAGATAGTATACTGTTACTATGGCATGTAGAGATCTGCAGTGCTTCAGCATTAATATTTAGCCAAGTACCAACACTGCACAGTCCTACAATGGAGATATGGACTAATTCAGTGCATGTAATTTTTACTGTATTTTTCAGCTGATATCGCCACATTTGAGTGCAATTCTCTTTTTTTAGAAACATGCTTCCATTAAGCAAGCAGTTTCTCAGCCTCTTGGATGGTTGCTTGAGATTGGTATCTACAGTGAAATCTGAGGCCTGATACTCATGACATCCTAAAAAGTCTCAAGCCTAATTATAGTACTGCAGTTTTAACCTAAAAATAAGCTAAGGCATGCATCATGGTGTCCACAACAGATGCAGCCAAGTGCTTTTGCATATATGAAAGAACATTGTGAGGATAATATAAGCTTACAAATCAGCCCTACTTCCAAGGGGATTTCATTAGTGGGTTGTTGTTTTATTTAAACTAAGGGTTTAGTTTGAATAAAAGATGAGTTTTTAGCAATTCCAAGATATAAGCTCTTCCATACTGCAATTAAATGTAAGGTGGTCTTCATTTTTTCCTATACTTAATATTAAACATGAGTACTCCAAAAGGCAGGGGCAATCTTACCTCCCACTCACCACCCCTTCCAGGTATTAAAGCTCAATGAAGTCAAAAATCCACTGTCATAGGTGTGGCAGCATGTAGACCAGAATAGAGCCCTATGGCCCATGCAAATCTGTGCTCAGAGAAAGCTGAAGTTGAGACTACAGCCCAGGCTAACAGTGCAAATTACAAATACTAAATTACAGCTGACTACACTTGCTCTTAGTATCTTTAACCCTGCAGATTTTGTGATCTAAATGCCAAAAGAAATGGTCATTATAATTAGTGTAAGATGAATAAGATTTCCATTAATAAAGTATGTGTGCTTTCCAGTTAACTCTAGTTATAATATAGCTTTGGGTACAATATTTCTGAAGAACTGTTTAAGATCTGACAGTTTTAATATGTCAAGAAATGACAAGTCAAACCACCATGTATTAGGCTCCCTAAATTTAAGTACTAGATAGATATTTAGCTTTAAGTTGTCAGTCCTTCAGGGAAAATTAAACAAAGGTTTCCAGAGGGGAAAGCAAGAACTCACACTGTCACTTTAAGAGAAAGTTTGTCCTGTTTACTAGAACCTTTCCAGTATCCTTGTTACCAAGTGAAAATTAAAACAGCAGAAAACACAAGTAATTGGGTTTGGATTTGATGTGGCTCACTGCATTGTTAGTACAAAAACAAATATGGTACATGACATTGACAAAGTCAAACATGGGATATCCTGGTAATAGATCTGAAGCTGCAGTAACTGGATTGCCAGCATTTTACCAGTTGTATTGCGTTTCCACTCCTCTACCTTTCCCTTGGTGCATTTCCCCGACTCAATTGTAAGTTTGTTAATGGTAATGTACATATATTGTTTGCATTAGCTCCATCGAATCACTCAAACTGTGTCTGGACTCTCATTGTGCTGGAGAATTTTTTTTTTTTTAAACTAAAAAAGCCACCACCCACATACATTAGAAGGCCTGCAAGGCATACAGTAAAAACTGCCCTGAGGAGCTTACAGATGCTAAGGTAAGATTTTAAACTGCAGTTAAGTCAAATGGCTATGGCTCTCGTGGTTACATCCCATCAAAATCAGGAGGCAGCAAAAAGCAATACTAGGGTAGTTTAGAATGAAAAAAACACCAATATACCTATTGATTTTTCACCCTTGTAACAGCCATCTTGGCATTATGGTGCTAGCTACTTTTCTAGATTCCTCTCCTCTTCCCCTATCATTATGCTAAGCAGTTTGCAATGTCAGATTTATGATGAAATCCCATTCAAGTTAATGAAATAGAACTGTGTTTTCCTTATTCACATCCGTTTAATTTTCTACCTTTGAGAACTCCTCAGGGTCCTTTATGTCCAGTGACCGTGCAGCAAATTCTAGAAGTTCTTCAGAATTCTCCAAGGCATTACTACATTGGCTAAGTTGATTCTAGGGTCAGAAAACAGAAGATAGTTTCATATATTAAAATTTTAAGAGTTGGTAAGATCGTTTTGACTGGCTCCCTCCAGAATGCCACTTGGAACTGGGGTACCACTGAGCCCGCCTGACCCACCAGCCTAGGTTCCCTTTCACACTGTGGTACTGTAATAAGTTGCCAAGCTCTCCAAGCTTGCTCTTTCATCAGCATACACACAGGTAGGGACACACCCAGCTGCAGCTTCTCACACAGATGCCGAGATCAGCTTGGCATGGGAAGACTCAGCTGAGGCTCCTCTTAGTTGCTAAGGCATGCACCCCCCTCTGGAGTGCAGACACAAAATATATCATCTTGTGCTGCACAGGGAACTGTACAGGATAAGCTCATAAAATCCACCCTCTCCCCTCAATGTGGAAAGAGATATGCAATAGCTTTCATAGTTTACACACACAGATTTTAGACCAAAACAAGTTTATTCACTACAAAACAGATTACCTTAGTAAATAAACAAAACCATAAACAGAGTTTACACACGCTAAATAGGTAGGATATGAATTAGCAAATTCTCACCCTGGAGTGATAAACAGGTGGGCAGATTCTTAAGGCACAAGCTGCCTTGGCTTTCCCAGGTTCATACACAGGCTAAAAATCCCTCTAGCCTGGGACCATCACTTCCCCCAGTTCAGTCCTTGCCCCTCAGATGTTTCCGTAGGGAGAGTGAGGTACCATCATGATGTCATTGGCCCCCTTTTATATCTTCTTTCCACTTGCTGGAAAGCTCTTTTGCTGTGATCTGGATCAAATAGTTCCCCTTTTGTAATGATATCTCAGAGGTTTCATTATACACAATCCCAGGGGTAATCCTAGTGCATGTACATTTTCTCAATGAGCCATTAATATTGTTTGGCCTTTTTACTGTTTACCTAAAAGGCTGCTTGTGGGGATTTTCAACCTCAACATTTCAGTAACACCCACATAACCAAACTTCCTAACTTCACATGACGATAGCACATACAATCCAATGAGATATTACTGTCTAGCAGATCAAGACTTTTAGAATGATGCCTCACAAGGTGTACTTTGTACAAAACTGGTCCTAATTACATGACTGTAGTGAATATTGGGGTGCCACGGTGTCACAATAGTGAGTAGTAGCATGAACTGCAGAATTTTGACATTCACCCCAGCTGCACTATAAATGTTACTAAGTATCAGCTCTGCCACCCAAAGGCATTGGCATCCTTCTTGGCAGGACACATCATCTTGGCTGAAACTTAAGGATGTGTACTATGCCCTATGAAACTAAGGAGCAAATAATTTGTTAAATGGCACCCATAAGACCTGATGGATGTATACACTGCAACCTACTGCTTTCGCCATACTAAAAATGGTAAGCATTTTACAGAGTGTGCATCAAATAAATTAAAGCGTATGTTGCAGATCTGGTTAAAAAGATGAAAGCATGACCTGAACCATGCTTTCCAGTTTTAATTTTAGTTCATTATGGAGATACTAAATTACATTTGAAGAGGTACTGTGTACAACATCTTAACTGCAGGCCAAAGGGTAGGGCACAGGAGATGTAGGTTTTGTCCTAACTCTGCCATCAACTTGTTGCATTTAATCTGCAACAATTTCTCCCTCTGTAAAGTGCTGCTTACTCACCTTGGAGATCTAGGGATACAGCAATGCAAGCATCCAATAAATCTGCTGATACTGTACAGCAAATAAACCTAAGTCTCTTCCCTGAATAGCTTCCAGTAGCAAACCAAAAAATTTGCACAATACTGAACTTGCAGAGTGATGTCAGTGAGAGGTTGAATCCATCTAGAGGGGTTTTTTGGTTTTTGTTTTTTTTTAGTAGTCTTCCCTAAAAACAGTTTAGGATCTAAGTAGCGGTCTTTAGTAGCAGAAAGATTGTTTGAGACCTCAAAGTTTATACCAATTTTCTGTGATTTCTGAAACATGCTAGATTAATGCAAACCTCCTTCCAGTCAGCTTCTGTCCACTGACCCACATGTGACTGTTGCGGATATATCAGCTTTGACATACCACGCACAACATTGCATAATATTGCCATAAAAGCAGAAATCTCAACAATAGCAGTGTTTAGCTAAGGGCATCTCTAAACAGTTTGCCAAGACACAGCAACCAGACACTAGTATTAGCATTCCAGTTGGATGCATCAGTATTTGGGAACGGAAGGAGCCATGTCAGTTGTAAACAAGTGTAATTAGGATAGATTGCCCTACAAATAAGCAGTGTTTCTTCCAGCCTTAAGCCTGGGCCTACAGAGGAGTTCAATATTCTTGTGAGATGGCATCAGCTTAGAAGAGAGTTAAATTAAATCACTCATACCAATATCAGCAGTTTTATTTGTAATAAATCTACCAATCATTATACAACCATGACTGTACAACTTACAAGTTCTTCCCATTTAAAGGCATGGAATAGATAGTTTTCCAATCCAGACAGTATCAGGAAGGCTGCTTGTGTAGATACAGCACAAACACTCCCTGGTGACAGTAAAATTAGAGGATATTGCTTCCTCAACGCCAATGAAGAGTCACACCCAGTTAATATACCCTAGACCAGCATTTCTCAAACTGGGGTCTGCGGATCCCTGGGGGTCTGCAAGGGTACTCCAGGGGATCCACGGACCCTGCTGAGCAACTCAACTCCTCCCCTTCCTCCCAGCGCCTCCTGCATGCTAGGTAACAGCTGCTCAATGGCATACAGGAGGCACTGGGAGGGAGGGGGAAGAGTGGGGATGGGGGTTAGGGGCCTGAAAATTTTTCAATCAAAATGGGGGTCCTCAGGTTGCTAAAGAGTTTGAGAACTGCTGTCCTAGACTAAGCTTCATTATTTTAGCTGTACTTTTGTACAGTTGACCTATATAGTGCATTGTTAGCCAACAAGGAGTCCAGCATGCAGTCTTCACTAAAAAATGTGATCAATTAAGGTACACCCAGAAGAGTCAATACTATCCTTTATCTGCTTTTAGTAGACATTTGGAGATTCATAAAGTGCAGTTCTATTCTGAATCACAACTCCTCTCCATCCCCCTCCAAAGAAGTATCATGAACTCCTCAAATCATGAGACATTGAAGGTGATCAAATTTGAAGACTAAGCAAATAAACATTTCCACCTGCCCTGAAAGACAAGTTGACAAAACCTGCAAGCATTCAGTCACCATTAACATACCACAGGCCCTCTTTTTTTCCTTCTAATTTCAAGAAGCGGCAGTGCCGTCATACAATACATAGGTTTCAGGTAACAGTTGTTGGTTCAACTGTACACCACTGAGACAAGCTTTTGGCATGTCAAGCCCTCTGTTAGGTCAAGAAACTAAGATCCTTAATTTAAGTTTTCTATATGGTATAATTCTAACTGTGGATTTAAACCCTCATGATCTAAAAGCAATGACAGCCCACAGTTAGGGATTTCTTGCACCCTCCTTTGAGGCAACTGGTACTGGCCACTCTCAGACATGATACATGTCTAAATAAAGCACTGGTCTAATTAAATACCAGAACTCCTATCAGGTATACATGCTGTTTGCTCCCACAGCTACCCCACCCCAACCATTAAAATACGGAACACCTTACAAACGTTAGTGATTTCACCCATACATGTGAAATAATGAGGGGTTTTTAAGCCCGGAATCGGAGGCACAGAAAAGTGACTTGCCTAAGGTTCTATAGGAAGTCTCTGGTAGAGTTAAGCGCCAAATAGAGCTGCTCCTGCTGTACAGTGAGTAAGTGTTAGTCTAGGACCTTAAAAGCCTTGAGTAGCAGGCTAAAACGTTTGCACAATAAAGAACTTGCCTCTTTCCAAAGAAAGTCAGCCAGGCCAGTGTCAAAACCCTTTGTTCTCAAACACTGCATAAGTGTAATTAGTTACCTAAGTTCCAGTCAAGAGCCTAACAACGTATTTTAAAACTCAAAAATGTGAACGACAATACTAGCTCTATTTGATATGAAATTTACAGTTCTTGCTTGAAAGGGACATAGAAAAAAATCTGCATGTCAAAACCTCTCCGCTTGTTCTCAGAGCTCCAACACCAGCACTGCTATGAGGGAGGTAGGAGAGTATAATGAGTAAAGACAAGAAAGCACATCAAGTGCCTTAGAGTCTATTTGCAGGAATTCTGGAACAAAAGTTGAGGGGTGGATGTGCTCGTTTGCATCTTAATACCCACAATGGTCTTCCAGCCCCATTATTTCATAGCAGTGCTAAAGAATAAAACCAGAAAAATGTCTGGCTTTCCTGTGTACTCTGGAAACTTTTGTAAAATGTAATCCAAGTTTTGCTGCCAAACCTTTGAATATGAATATTACCAGTGAACAGGCTCCTAAAGGAGCCATGGAAATTTGTTCTGAGAAACAGAGTGTCTAGGACTTAAAAAGTTAAAAAAAAGCAGCAGCAAGGAATAAGGGGAGGGAAGCCTTTCAGAGCGGGAGGGTGAAGAGGAAAGGTAGACATTTTCAAAATAAAGGAAAATAAGGATGCCATTCCATCCACATTGAAATTGCTTTAACATTGGAGTCCTCCTTAAAACACTAATACATTTTTTTTAAACTAGAGGAACAGCAATTAAAAAGATGACATTCATAGACCCTTGCAACATGTGCCAATGATTACCTTCCCAAAAAAATAAAAATAAAAAAGTTACACTATCATTGACAAACTATTGGCGAAAATACAAAGTTGATGTCCAGTTCAGAAAAGTCAGTTATTTTGTTCATATTTCTTCACACTCCCACTCCCAAAAATATTCCCCTACACAGCATGTAAAATTGTAATACTTGTTCTTATATAAAATTTAATAATTTGACACTTCAGAAAAACATACATATTGGGAATTGTGTAGCAACAAATACCTCATACTTTTCCAGTGGAAAACAGATAACTCTTTATGTGTAAAGAACAAGGAGGAGAAAGTATGGATCAGTAAATAGGTGCTAGCCTAGGACTTGAAATGTGGGTTTGATTCTCAGGTCTGTTACAATCTGCCTGTGTGGCCCTTAGTTTCTCTGTGCCTCGGTTCCATCAGTAAAATGGGGGATAACAGCACTTCCTCATACTCCATATCCATGTGAGTTAAATATATTTAAAAATTTGAGGGACTCATGCAATGGAAGCCATGTAAGTACTTAAGATAGAACACACCTTAGCTAGGAGTAAACATATTTGTTATCAATACATGCTGCAAAATCATTTTGCAGTGAGACTGAAACTAGCTAAATTTGTCAAGAATTACATCCTTAGTACTGCAAAAGCTTTCAGATGTATGCAATTACCTGTAGCTCTTGAGATTTATGAGCTTGTTCTTGCTTAATACTGTTGGTCATACTTTCCTTCATCTCATCCAGTATAGAATACAGACCATCAAATTCCTCATCCAGTTCAGCAATTACATTAGAAGAATTAGCCTAAGAAGAGAATTGTAATTGTGTTTCAGTTGTGCAAGAACAGTGATGAAAATCAGTCTTCCAGAGTGAAAGCTTCCCCCTGCCCCACTACAATGTGCAATGATCACTCTGCATGTTGTCATGCTCCCCCATCTCATGAAAATTTGCTAGCCACAATGCAATTTGGTATGGTGGGCCTCTCAAGCAGACTAAAACAACGAAGAGTCCTTGTGGCACGTTAGAGACTAACAAATTTATTTGGGCATAAGCTTTCATGGGCTAGAACCCACTTCATCAGATGCATGAAGTGAAAAATACAGGATCATGTATAAATACATGAAAGGATGGGGGTTGCTTTACCAAGTGTGAGATCAGTCTAACGAGATAAATCAACTAACAGCAGGATACCAAGGGAGGAAAAATAACTTTTGAAGTGGTAAGAGAGTGGCCCATTACAGACAGTTGATAAGAAGGTGTGAGTAACAGTAGGGAGAAATTAGTATTGGGGAAATTAAGTTTAGGTTTTGTAATGACCCAACCACTCCCAGTCTTTATTCAGGCCTAATCTGATGGTATCCAGTTAGCAAATTAATTCCAGACATCAGGAATCATAACATTCAAAAACCAGCAGAACACTTCAATCCCTGGTCACTCAATAACAGACCTAAAAGTGGCAATTCTTCAACAAAAATACTTCAAAAACAGACTCCAACATGAAGCTGCAGAACTGGAATTAATTTGCAAACTGTATTTTTCACTTCATGCATCTGATGAAGTGAGTTCTAGCCCATGAAAGCTTATGCCCAAATAAATTTGTTAGTCTCTAAGGTGCCACAAGGACTCCTCATTGTTTTTGCTGATACAGACTAACACAGCTACCACTCTGAAACCTGTTAAGCAGACTAGAGAATTTAGAGTATTACAGGCCACCAGTTGGTTATGTCAACAAAGCCACATACAGAATCCTGCACAGCACACAGGTAAGTGTGACCATTAGTTATCCAATAATACGAGCCCCTCATTTTCATGAGTCTCAAGCTCTCATACACAGAAGACTAGTAGTTCACACACACACACACACACACAAAAATTACCTAGCTCTATGAGCAGCAATTGGTTTTATTTGCCCCTCCTTAAGAAACTAGCTTAGATTTACAGTGTTACAAACATATCAATGCTGAGCAAAGAGCACAGTACAGAGGTATAAGCATCAGGCAGTAAAGAAATTAGAAAATAATTAATCCTGGGTTTTAGATAGAGAAGGGGTAAATAATACAGGAACCAACATAAACCTGACAGTCTGTCATCCTCCAATTTACTGCTTTAAAAGCACTAACCTGAAAAGCAAGACAAGTGTTGATGCTCAGACCAAAGAAATCTCAACATGTCAGATGAATATTGGCTTTTCAGAAGAATGTGAGCTGGATTTAACTAGGAAAAAAGTTTACACTCAACTCCAACTATCACAGCTTCCATGTCAAACAAGGTGGCAGAAGCTTCAAAATAATGTAGACTCTTCCCTAATAGTTGAGTCCAGTCACAGCATTTTACAAAAACAGGGATTTTCCAGTTTCAGAATTTAAATGTATACTTTCAATAGAATCACCCATAAACAAAAAACCACCACAACAGCTTTCCTTTTTGGTTTTAAGAGTTATTAGCAGCTCTTTACACACCAAGAATTTTTTTAAATGAGAATAATTCAAGTTGGATTGGACTGGACTGGACATCGGGGGGGGGGGGAAGAGATAGCTCAGTGGTTTGAGCATTGGCCTGCTAAACCCAGGGTTGTGAGTTCACTCCTTGAGGAGGCCATTTAGGGAACTGGGGTTAAAAATCTGTTTGGGGATTAGTCCTGCTTTAAGCAGGGGATTGGACTAGATGACCTCCTAAGATCCCTACCAACCGCATGATCTTCTATGATCCACCTCCCAACTTCATCACATTTGCAAATATGATTTGCAGATATTAACACATGTACCTGAACACCTTTTAATGTATGGTTCAGTGTGTCGATAAAGTTCTGGATTTCATCATTTTTGTTCGCCAGAGTAGAGATAATCCTTTGTAGAGCTTCCTGGGATTACAAAGAAATTCAAGAGAGAATTCAATATTTATGTAAAGATTATTATACATCTTGTGAGCAATTTTAAATAGTTTCCCACCCCAAAGACAATGTTTACCACCTAATGAAAACTTTGCCTGCCTATCACCACTTCCCACTGCAACACCACAAGGACAATACAAACATGCATTCAAGTCCTAATGCAAATTTAACACCATTAATCTGGGTTTGAATAGGGACTGGGAGTGGCTGGCTCATTACAGAAGCAGTTTTTCCTCTCCTGGAATTGACACCTCCTCATCTATTATTGGGAGTGGACCACATCCACCCTGATTGAATTGGCCCTGTCAACACTGGTTCTCCACTTGCAAAGTAACTCCCTGCTCTCCATGGGTCAGTATATAATGCCTGCACCTGTAACTTTCACTCCATGCATCTGAAGAAGTGAGGTTTTTACCCACGAAAGCTTATGCCCAGATAAATCTGTTAGTCTTTAAGGTGCCACCAGACTCCTTGTTTTTAAAGTTTTGTTAAAGCTAGGAAGGCCCAAAACAGTCAAAGATGAGAGATCTAAGATAGGGGTTTCTCACAAGAAATGTTTTGGTGACCTCAGCATGCAGCCACCAACTATTGCTGGTGGCCGCTTTGACAATTTTTCCTAAAATACTGAATTAACGTTAGGAAAAACAAATAATGATTTGGACATGTGCATATTTATGTGGGGGTTTTTTGCAGACTCAATAATAAAAATGTACAGTTTTCTCTTCTTTACTGGACCTAAATAGAAAAAAAAAACAAATGTGTTTTGCATGTTCTTGTCCCTTTTTGTTGGGGTTTCTTTTGCTTGCTTATATTTTTAAGACTTGCTAGCTAGTAAGTCTGTGTGAAAAATAATACTTGTATTTTGTTAAGATCACTTTTCTTAGCAGCAGACTTGCTAGCTAGCAGGGATGCAGTGAAAACAGACATACAAATATTTTTCACAACAGATTTACTCAGCCCTGGCAAGCTGAGGGACAAATTAAGCCTGGATGGGGAGGTGGATAGGGAGGCGGATAGGGAGGCAGCTCGGGGCCAGGGATGATGTGGGGGTGAGTCCAGGGACTGGAGCCCTGCAGCTGCATAGCCCAGTAAGACCGGGGCCGGAAGATGCAGTGGCAGCCCGGGGCAATGCGTGGGGTGAGGGGGTGAACTTGGGGCTGATAGTCACTGCCACATGGCTGGGGCTAGATCACGTGGGCCCATGGGTGGAGTCCAAAATCCTGCGGCTAGGAATCAGAGCAAAATGGCCAGAGCCCAGGGCCAGAGGAGGCAACGGGTGGGGGCAGGAGTAAGCCTGGGGCCAGGGGAATGGAGCCCACCACCACATGGCTGGAGCCTGCCGCCCACCACCCCAGATCTGAAGCCCGAGCGCTGCCGCCTGCCTACTCCTCCAGCATTTGTGTCTCCAGAAGGGGTCAGGGCCCAACCCCTACTGGCAGCCCTGGGAGGGGCCACTGCTTTGCCCCCCCCCATATCACAACCCAGGAGGCTGTGGCCACACAAAAAGCCCCTAGTGGCCACATGCAGCCACAGTGGCCATATTGAGAAACACTGATCTAAGAGGTGTTCACCAAGGTATACGTTTTTTTCCTTATTTTAAGGAGTAAAAAAGACTTCTTTACACCTTTGATCATGTAATTTGTATAAAAAGTAGCTAAAACTTAAGTGTTTTGGACTTTGTTGTCAACAGAAGTTGGTATATAAGCAACTGTGTTTAAACTAACATTTCTTCCTAGTCCCATCCTTAATTCATTCTACAAATGCATCACAGGAAATTTATTATTTCTGACCTCACAAATAAAGCATTTCTGTCATTCTCCAGTTAATTAGAATTATTAAAAAAAATACTTGAAACTGGGTAACTGCCTAGAAACAAGCCTGCTGATCAACCTAGAGGTATAGCACTCAGGTAACTAAAACTGGTGGGATGCTGTCCACTGTCTCTAGAGGGTATGCCAACATCCAGTTCGATAGAATATTGAAAGGAAAGCCATGGAGAACACTAAGAACTGAATTATACTAGCATCCACCTACCTGCACTCTGAGGATTTTAATAGGAGAGCATCACTGATCAATGTTTCAGTGGAAGAATCAGCAAGCTATCTACAGTCCCTGGTTCCTGCCAGAAGGCCCTTAGGAAAAGATTCCAAACTTGAAATTGGAAGGCAAGTTTACCTCTACACCTATCAAGAGTTGGCATGAGGTAATCATGCAATACTACTCTGGTTAATTGTGTGCAACTGCATACAATTGCTAGACCTTGCCAATTTTTTTACTATTCACTAAGGACAGTCAAATTGCTATGGTGATGTGTACCAGGACCCATTACTTCCCTCAACTTACTGTTATGAATATATTTTCTACCATTTGGTTGAGAATAGAAGCTTTCCCATTGGTTAAGTATGTATTATATAGGAGTATTATGGACAAAGTTGTTTTTAAGTTATTCCCTCAGACAGTCTAATCTGACCAGCTGCTTTCTGGTTCACTACTGACCAGAAGCAATTGTGCTTGTGTCAGACAAGCCCACAGCTAAGCCTTAGATCCTATAAATATAACTGTCAGTATGGATGAGTCAGAAAACTCCCAAGTCAAAAGAGGATTAGATTTACTAGATCCTGTTGGTTCTGCCATTTGAAAAAGATTTTATAGCCATGTACAATAAAAAAAAGTCTGAATTTACCTAAAGGCAAAGGTCTATCTAGGTAACATTCAAATAAAGTCCTTTGCACAGCCACTCCTAAAATACAAACAACGTACTGTACCACTCCCGTTTTCTACTTGCTAACAGTTGTCCCACCATAAACAAGATTGTGCCAATGATCCTAGAGTTTGAACTAATGGGGGGGTGGGGGGAAACAAGGATCAGCAAGACTATTAGAAATAGTATATAAAACTTTCAAAGCTACAGTTTCATCAAGCAGGAAGGAATAGCATAAAGTTTGGCTAACTTTAATCCTAACCATACATTTTCCATAATGGTGAAAAAAAGTAAAGGCTGAAAACTCCGCTAATGGAGTGGGTAGCTTTCCTTGGCAGGTGTTGGGGCCCAAGCCATCAATTTCAAATAAGCTGCTGACTTCTAGCTCTAGTATTTTGTTTGCAAATAATCGTCCAATTGAGTAGTAAAATGCAAGATGAAGCAGATTGCAGCTCATCTCTGAAGGCTGGCAGCTCCGGCATCTCTTCTGCTGTCCATAATTTCATTAAGATGAATTGTAGGAAAACAGAGGACCGACCAATCTATACTTAAAAGGCTGCAGTGGCACAGCTGAAAACCTTCAGTGAAGATGCTAATGTGCCAACAGGAGGGCTTCTCCCATTGACACAGTTAGTCCACCTCCCCCAGAGGCAGTAGTTATGCTGATGAGAGAATTAGCATTGCCTACACCAGAAGTTAGGTCGGTTTAACTGTGTCGCTCAGGGGTATGGATTTTTCACAGCCCTGGGCAACATAGTTATACCAATGTAAGTTTCTAGTGTAGACCTGGCTATGAGCAAAAAGTAGAGGCTTACATCCCATAGGAGAATGGCCTAACAATCAAGTTGCAGTGAAGACCCTTGGCTATTTCCCTACTGAGGGGGATTCAAATAACACTGCACAGAAGTGTGTTAGTCTCTAATGTGTCACAAGGACTCCTCGTTGTTTTTACTGCACAGAAGGTAAGCATTGTGTTTATCAGGCACGGTCCTGGAGGTCACTGGGGAGCCCCTTCATTTTTGTACTTCCTTCTGGCTAGTAGGCTTAGTACCCCAATTAGTACACATTCATGGAGTCACTGAAGCCCTAAAATAAGGTTTAGATGGGTTTTTAATATTGTATGCCAACAATCCGATCATGGCAAATTAACTACATTGTAATTTAAGAATTAGATTTAGTGCCTCTGAATAGCACATTAACGCCCATGAGTTACATGATGTGATTTGATACATTTTGTATTGAGGGAGTGCAGGCTGAAATGGTTTGGTTGTGTAAAGCACAGTCCTGACAACTATGTGGGTAAGACCAACCCATCAAGATAGAAGGAAAGAGAGAGGTCAACCCAAGAAGTGATTGGCAAAACTATAACCCACCCTCATGAGAAGATGGCATAGGGCTTTCTGGTACACCTCTACCTCACTACAACGCTGTCATCGGGAGCAAAAAAAAAAAAATCTTACCGCGATATAGGTGAAACCACGTTAAATTGAACTTCCTTTGATCCGCCAGAGTGCGCAGCCCCGCCCCCTCCCCCCCAGAGCACTGCTTTACCGTGTTATATCTCAATTCATGTTATATCCGAATTCATGTTATATCGGGGTAGAGGTATATGTAGCAGTGAGTCTCAGCTGGCCTGATCAGCTCAGTGCACCCCACATACTTGTCATTATATTAATTTAAAGGATGTCTTGTAATATATCATTGAAAAACTAGTAACTCACTGATCATTAGTATTCTTGTGAGATTATGTACTGTTAACATAAAAAATTATAAATGTGCTGGAAATATTCTTAAAATGTGGTAGGGCTTAAGGCACCCTGGGCTAGACCAAGGAATGTGGCTCTGCCTGCTTGTATGTGTCTCCAATGTAAATTGATCGAGACACAATGGAAGTACATTTACATAAAACTTAAACAAAGCCATCAAAGAGGAGGAGACTCAAAAAAAATCAACATGGCATCAGCTCTCTGGTGGACACAGCAAGCTGAGCCCCCAGGAGGGTTTCCTGCCTTTGAAAACAAGGATGAACCTTGAGAATATGAGTGGAGAAAGCAAGCCATTTTGGCATTCTTCACCTGAAGAAACAAAGACATCAAGCACTTTGAGATCTGAGTTGGATCCTGGCTAAGGACTAGCCAGCCGTGCTAGAAGACTGATTTTTTCCACCATAGTCCATTTTAAACAAAAGATCCCAGCTTGTCAAATTGGGTTTTAGTATTAAAAGCACTGTCAAGGCTGATTCCCCACTCTGACACTTCGAGTGCAGAAAGTGGGGACGTGCATGGATTCTAAAAATTACAAGCCTGGAGTGGCCAGTATTATTAAACTCCCAAGGTTACAGTTTCTCTCTGACTTTGTATGCTTAGATGATGCCACCACCCAAATACAAAAATAAACACACACACACACTCCCTTTGAAACCAGAAAGGCACACTTTGGAATTCCTTCCTGTGGGGTACCCTCAAGCCCTTTCACCCCCCACCCCTCTCTGGGGAAGAGCTGAGAAAGAAAAACAAAGGAAATTAGCTGGTGGCAACAGCTAATTTAACATATGCACAAACATTTTAGAAGACCGAAAATCCAATCCGGTTCTTAAAAAAGGTAAATTTTATTAAAAACAAAAAAGAAAAATACATCTGGAACTTAGGCTTTTGCTAGATTTACAAAACCCACTTACAAAATATAATCAAGAATAACATCCTTGACGTCCAGCTTAAAGGTTAAAGACAAAACAAAAAGTATTTGGGGTTAGCACAGAGGAGCCCACAAGCCAATAAGAAACCAACAGAAATAAACCTAATCGCATCTTTCTAGACATTCCCTAATTTACTTACATATCTGGGGTTTCAGATAAGCAACCTCTAGGTATAATCTGATGGTTTTTCATATCTGGCTTAAGCTTCTCACAGCGTAACTGCTCCCTGTTCCCCCCTTTCCTGGAGAACCACAACACCCAGACACAGGGAAGGTTTTTGTTTTTTGGTTTCCCTCCACCCCACCAATTTTAAAAGTTTCTAGCCCTCCCATTGGCTCTTTTGGTCAGGTGCCCACTCCTTTTCTTTTACCTGTGGGATTGTTAACCCTTTACAGGTAAAGGAAGCAGAGAACCACCACCAAGAGGGATTCCATAGCCAACTGGCTGTCTGGGTGTCCACAAAAGGGAGCTATCCCCCCCTCTCATTTATCACAAGCATATTTTCACTTTTGTTTATTTGGAACCTTTTCTAGCCCAATTCCTTCTGTTTGGTATCATTTAAATATCTGTCATTTATTAATAAACAATCTTGTTTTATTGCACAACCATCTTAGTGGAGTGTTTTAAACTGAAAGAGTAAAATCCACAGTCAAACAGGCTGATACTGTGTAAGGTCTTCTCGTTTTAGCACTTACAAAACCTTATGAGTATTAGCCTGCTAAACCCCTGGTTGTGAGTTCAATCCTTGAGGGGGCCATTTAGGGGTCTGGGACAAAAATCTGTCTGGGGATTGGTCCTGCCCTGCGCAGGTGGTTGGACTAGATGACCTCCTGAGGTCCCTTCCAACCCTGATATTCTATGATTCTATGATCAAATTTGCTGGTCCTTTAGAGAAGGGCTGAGCACTGCATGGGAGACAGTTTCGGGTAGACACAGGAGGGGTAGTTAGTATCACCCTGCATGAAATAATCAGGCTGGTGGAAGCCAGGGTGAGGTCACTATGATGTAAGCAGGCTGCTGGTGTCAGGTCTCCGAGTCAAAGTTGCACAGTACAGAAGCACACAAGGTTACAGGTGACACTTTACTGGTCTGGGTGAAACTCCAAAGCGTCAGTGGAATATCATAAAGAAAGACATTAGAATGTGGGGTGATAGACTAAAGGATATAGCATATATAGCATTGAACAGAGCACTTTGGAGAGAGAGAGAGAGAGAGGACTCGTAAAGTAGACTCCATTAGATGGGATTAACGAAAGGAAGACTACAATACATTTTGTGCATCTAAAATTTCACAAGCACGTCTGTCATACTACACTACACAACAAGTAATAGACATGACAAGACTTTTTTTAAGTTTACAGATACACAATATGTGCCTTCCTAAATAACAGACAATTGATTTATATGGCACCCACATAGCAACTGAATACCTCAAATATTAAATTAATAAGGTTATGTATATTAAGTAGTATTCAATCAATTTCATCTGGCCCTAGCAAGGGGACCTACTCTGAGTCTGAGCCTCTGCAAAATCTTTCATTTAAGAATGATGTTTCAAGCCATTATGATTTCAAAAGGTAACTTTCAAAACATGAACCCAGCATAAGCCAAGCTACTGCCACCTTCAAGTCTGAAAAGAGCTGTAATATTTCTGCTACTTTTCATAGCTTCTCCAAGCTGCACCAAAGGGAGAACAATACCTATTGTCAGTTTTAAGGATACTATGCAGAACCCCGTGGGGCAGCAGTGAAACTCAGAAATCATGTGAATGATACTGTTTGGAAAAGGATAAAGCAGAAGCCATTACTCAAGACTGGGAGAATCAGTAGAATAACAAAGGCCCTCTCCCCCACCCCCACCGCTGGATGGTTGGGGGGAGGGGGAATTCCTTTTCCCGTCCAGCAACTAAAAGTGGATAGAGATTCAATTTTATACAACATTTAACGAGGCAGAGACTTACAGAGGTTCACCCCCTTACCTCTTCAACCAAGAGGTCCCGTGAGAGCATCCGGATAGAATCATAGATTCTATGACAGGAGTCTACCACAGAGCTGTCTTAACCAGTTAGGTGGTAGCATTTCTCACCTGCATATTTCAAAGTACTAGTAACCTTAGTTGTCCAGACAATGTGTGTGAAATTTTTCAAGACCCAAAAAGTCAAGGTACAACTCATAGCCAACAGTAGTTCCAGTATTTCTGGGCTATTGCCAGGAGTAAAGTGAGGTCCTGAAGGAGGATGCAGGGAAAATCCTTCCAGACACCTGGCCAGGGACCCACAAAGTTGGGTCAAGATTACTTGCAGAGTCTATACTAACTTTTTCCTCTTGGTCCAGTCTCCTAACCCAGCCACATCTCTGCAGGTCAACAGCCACATTTTAAAAACATACAAGAAGTTTAATTAATTTGTCCCCTTCAATGCAGTTTCACATTAACAGTAAACAGAGGGATTCACCTATGTCAACAATCTAATTAGTGGTGGCCAAAATGCACAACAAGAGAGTGATCTATTCCATATTGGTGTTTTATAACATGTACCTGTAAACACACAATTAGCATCCCAACACGCAGGATGCCAAATCTTTTGTTAAGCTCAACAGTTACATTTGTTGGTTCACAACCCCTTTACATCCCTCTTGTAGGAAAGATCAGAGCAATATTGTAGAACAGTTTCCATCTATTTTCCCAGCATTTTCTTCCTAGTAGCTATCTCTTACAGGTGCTCATTTTGCAGTATGTTAAGTTACTGAAAAGAATTTTTCCTTCCACTTCCTAAACACTGTCTCACTAGTACGGGCAAATCTCTTAGGGAAACCTGCTACTTCCCTGGAACTGACGGGCATGTACGCTGTTCCCCTCCCCATCACACTACATCCCAGGTGGGTTTCTTCTCAGCTAAGAACAGATTTAAGAATTTTATTAAGCTGCTGTACAGTTTTCATACCACTTCTCTGTGAAAAAGCCTTCTCCAAAGCCTACCAACGTTAGACAAACAGCGAAGGAGAAAGAGAAATGTAGAGGCACAGACCGAAGGATGCATTTCCCCCCTCCCCCCATGAAGATTTTAAGTTAGACCTGTTTAATGGAAGCTACATTTCGTGTGCAGCTACACTCCACCTCCGCATCCTCCTGCCTCTAGGACCCTAAGACACAAAGCAAGAGTTGCCCCAGGATCCAGCCTGCCCCAGGCCCCCTAACTCTGCCCTCTCCTCTCAAGGCAGCTTCGAGGCGAGCCTTGTTTCGGCCGCTCGGCGATCCGCTGACAATACCCAGCACTTACACAGCGATTTCCCGAGGCTGCAACTCCGCTTCTCCGTGCGGCGGAGAGCTTTCCACTGAAAACAAAACAAGCCTGACACCCCCCCAGGCTGCTACAACCCCCCCCCCCGGCTTCCCCAGACCCGCCCCACGGCTTGAGGGGGGCGAGGAGCGAGTCAGCCCAACCTGCCCCCCACACCCCCCGCAGCTTCTCCCGCTGGCTCCACGCAGCCGCTCCCACACACCTGCGGGGAGGCCGCGCAGGGCTCACGCGTGAGAGTGGGCGCGGCCCGTTACCCCCCGGAGAGGCGCCCCCCCCCCGGCGGCACTCCCTCACACCGGGGTCACCCCCTGCCACCCCCCAAGGGCAGGTGCGCCGGGCGCGCGCGCGCTCACTCACTTTCTGAGCCTCCATAGCGAGGCTGCCGCAGGCGCGCGCGGAAGACACCCACTGCCTCAGCCCGCCCGCTAATCAAAGTCGCCTGCGGGCGAGAGGCTCCGCTCTTGCACCCTCCGCGCTCGTCGGCCCCGCCCCCAGCCACACCCCTGCGCGTGCGCCGTCCTGTCCTCCACAAACCCCCTTCCCTCCCTGCCGAGCGTGCCCGCCCTTTCCCGGGCAGGACGCACCGCCTCCTTCCTTGCTCGGCCAATAGAGACGCGACGCCTCCACCAGGCACCGCCTCCACCCCGCCCCTTCCCCCGTCCCGTACGTGACTTGAAACGTCTACCTCGAGGTGGGAGGGGAAAGGCGAGAGAGACGGTGGTGCGAGCTGCAGCGCTGGCGCCTGCGCAGTGGGCGTGATGAGGGATTGGGCTGTGGGCGTCTCACGCTAAAGGAATGCGGCGCCTTACCTGCCCTGGAGTCGCAGGGTCGCGTCCGGGCCGCACACATGCTCTGCCCAGTGCAGTAACTGGACACAGTCCTAGGGGGACCAGATGTCCCAATTTTATAGCAACAGTTCTGATTTTTGGGTCTTTTTCCTATATAGGCACCTATTACCCCACACCCCCTGTCCTGATGTTTCACATTTGATGTCTGGTCACCCTACACAGTCCCATCCATGCCTGGGCTATCATATCCTATTCCCACAGCAGCACCAGGGGTGGAGGGTGTATTGACCTGGCAAAGGCCGACAGTGGAGTGTGTATCCATGCCATAGCCACCCCCTCAGTGACACAAGCCATTTTCATTCTGGCCAGAGTTGACAAGTGACCAATGATTTTCAGTGGCTAGCAATTCCAGGTGTTCAAGAAATCATGAGTCAGGTCCCCAAAATCATGACATTTAAAAAAAAAATCTTTAACAGTTGAGGTTATTTTTATTTGTCTCTTGCTTTCAGCGCCTCTATGGCACACTTGGCTCATGGCTTTCATTTTTCCCCCCACATCCATGAGGGCTAAAAAAAATAAAATTTTATTTTAGTGAAAACTGAGATGCATACAGGAGCTCGGGCTTTAAGAAAAGCAGCAACTATCCCAAGACTCGCACTAAAATCACAAGCGTTGGCAACACTGGATTTTGCTTTGCCTCTATTTTTGTGTGTCCGGCTGGGATGCCTCAAAGGGACCTCATTTCTAGAGAGCAAGTGTTCAGCACTTTCTGAAAATCGGGCCTTTATAAGGCATCTCAAGTCAGACACATAAAAATCACTAATTCCTTTTGAAAGTTTAGGGCCCTGAGCCTGACAGAGGCTCAAGCACATGGTCAGTGCTTTTGAAATGATAATTCTGGGTACACCTGTGAACATCACCATATTTCTGAATGTTTCAGGATGAGTATCCACTTTCTAAGGTTTTCACCCAATTTTGTATTTTGTCTTGTATACAGCAGTCAAACTTGACACATAAGGGATCTTTTTCCCTACACCTGAAATTTATTTAGTTTGCCCTACTTAGTGCCTTGTAAACCAGCTTTATAGTATTTCAGGGCCTTCTGACCCACGGAATAAAAAGTGTATCATATAGCGTTTGAAATGGGTGGTAACTCTTCATATCAATGACGTTTTACAAATATATAACTATAAAAATATTCACAGTATTTGAGAGTATCTGTGACTGTATCACTCTTGATTGGGGCTTTGGCATTATTGTAATATCATTGATTAATAATAGTATAAACTCTGGTTGCAAAGTAAAAGAAAAGAAAACCACATTATGGTAACTCTCCAGGACTACCTTCACTACTACATCACCACTTAATGGTAAAAAGGATTTATTAAGCCAATTTGGGCCTCAATTTGTTTTATTTATTTATTTAAAAAAATAACTATAGAACCAATTTTGAAACTATGCAAAAGGAGTGTCCTTTCAAAGTGTTTTTAATTTTGAGGGAGGAGCTTTGGGGACATAAATGGGAATTAAGAGGGATGAACCCCCATTTTTTCTTAGTATCATTGATTTTTCTAAAGCATTATGGACTTCCTACATTCATGAAAGTCAATCAGGCACTCAAAGGAAATTTTATAAAACAAGATACCTAGTAACAGGAGGAAATGAATTCTCTAGTGAGGTAGAACTCCACACCCTTTTGTTAATAGTATTGTTTAAGATTTGGGAGATCAGGACCCCACTGTATCAGACACTGTAAAAACACATAGCAAGAGACAGGCCTGCCTCAAAGAGCTTACAATGACAAATATGTGACAGACAAAGGTTGAGAAGGAAAATGGGCACAGAGAGGTGAAATGACTGGCCCAACGTCACACAGGACCAGGCAACAGAGCCAGAAATACAGCTCAGATCTAAAAGAACAGGAGTACTTGTGGCACATTAGAGACTAACAAATTTATTTGAGCATAAGCTTTCGTGGGCTATAAACTTATAGCTAAAACTTATGCTCAAATAAATTTGTTAGTCTCTAAGGTGCCACAAGTACTTCTCGTTCTTTTTGCTGATACACACTAACACGGCTACCACTCTGAGCTCAGGTCTACTAAATCTAAAAATGATAAGGGGTATGGAACCGCTTCTATATGAGGGGAGATTAAAAAGACTGGGACTTTTCAGCTAGGAAAAGAGATGACTGAGGGGAGTTAAGATAGAGGCCTATAAAATCATGACTGGCAGGGCTGGCTTTAGGCCGATTCCCCCGAATCAGGCCCCGCGCCTAAGAGGGCCCCCGCACCTGCGCCTAAGAGGGCCCCGCGCCCTAAAGAAGAGTGCCTAACATAGGCGCCTTTTTAATCTTTACTCACCCAGCAGCAGTGGCGTAGCCAGCTTTTAAGAGGAGGGGGAGCAAACCTAAAAAAGGCGCCCCCCCCCTTGGCTCCTCCTCTGGCCACGCCCCTCGGCTCCTCCTCCAGCCGCTCCACGCCCCCCCCTTGGCTGGCTCCTCCGGCCGCACCACCCCTCCCCCCGCATGGCTCCTCCGGCTGCGGCTGCTCGGCCGCCAGCCTGCGCCCCCCCTCACTCCTTGGCCGCGGCTGCCGGGCCACAGCCTGCCTCGCGTTACCCCCCCCCCCGCTCCTCCGGCCACGGCTGCTGGGCCACAGCCAGCATGCGCCCCCCCCTTCTCCGGCTGCGCCCCTCCCTCGCTCCTCCGGCCGCTTTTGCAAAGTGTGCTGAGGGGAAGCGGCTGCTTCCTCTGCACCCCGCTAGCTACGCTACTGCCCAGCAGCGGGCCGGGTCTTCGGTGGCACTTCGGTGGCGGGTCCTTCACTCGCTCCAGATCTTCAGCAGCGGGTCCTTCGGTGCCGCGGAAGACCCGGAGCAAGTGAAAGACCCGCTGCCAAAGTGCCGCCGAAGACCCGGATCGCTGCCGGGTATTCGAATCGGGCCCTGCACTTCCTAAAGCCGGCCCTGATGACTGGTGTGGAGAAAGTGAATAAGGAAGTGCTATTTAAACCTTCACATAACACAGGAACCAAGGGTCACCCAATGAAATTAATAGGCAGCAAGTTTAAAAAAACACAAGGAACTACTTCTTCATACAGTGCACAATCAATCTGTGGAACTCATTGCCAGCAGGGGTGGCAAGCGTGTAGAAATTTTGGTGGTGCCCAGAACCCGCCCCTGCCCAAACTCCGCCCCCAAACTCCACCCCCCACCTGCCCAAGGCTCTGGGAGGGAGTTTGAGTGGGGGAGGAGGTCTGGGGTGCAGGCCCTAGGCTGGGGCAGGGGATTGGGGTGCAGGCTCTGGGAGGGAGTTTGGGGATGGAAGGGGTGCAGAGGGAGGGGGTGCAGGGGTGAGGGGTGTGGGGTGAGGGCTGTGGGGTGTGGCTGCAGATGAGGGGTTTGCGATGTGGGAGGGGCTCAGAGCTCGGGCAGAGGGTTGGGGTGCAGGAGGATGAGGGCTCTGGCTGGGACTGGGGATAAGGTGTTTGGGGTGTGGGAGGCGCTCAGAGCTCGGGTAGAGGGTTGAGGGTGCGGTGGGGGGTGAAAGCTCTGACTGGGGGTGTGGGCTCTGGGGTGGGGCGCAGCTGGGGATGAGTTTGGGGTGCAGGCAGGATGCTCCAGGACAGGGGCCAGAGAGGAGGACTCCCCCCAGCCCTTTCCCTGCCGCTGCCGGCAGCAGCAAGCTCTGGGGGAGGAGCCCCCCTTTCCTGCCCCCCCAGCAGCACACGGTCACTGCATGTGCTCCTAGGGCCCCTCTTAGGTCCAGGAATCTCCCTCACCTCCCCCGTGGTTCGTGCCGGGGGGGTGCTGCGTGTGCCTCCTCCTCCCCTGCTGTTGCCCCTAACTGCAGGTTCACTGGGGGGTGAGGGATGGGGCTGCCTCCTTGCCCAGCATGGGGCAGGAGCGGTGACTGCAGGGGGGGAGCGGGGGGGGAAGGGGAGCTGTGCTGCTGGAGGGTCCTGCCAGAAAAGGGAAGGGTCTGAGGGGGAAGGGCAGGCTCAGAGTCAGTCTGTCCTGGCAGGGAGATGGGGAGCACTAGGACCCTGCGGCAGCAGTTGCTGCAGGGAGGCAGCATGGAGCTGCAGGGAAGAGACAGTGTGTCAGTTTTCAGATTAGCAGCCCCGCTCCGAGCCGGGGAAGGCAAGAGGGGGCCGGGGGAGGTGGGGGGGGGGCGCGAGGGGGGCCGGGGAGGACACCCGGCCCCAAATATTGGTGGAGCTGGGCCCCTGGGCTCTGAATATTACTGGTGCCCGAGCACCACGTGGGTATGGAACTCACCGCATATGCCCAGGGGATGTTGTGATGTCCAAAAGTATAACTGGGTTCAAAAAAGAATTAGATTAATTCATGGAAGATAGATCCATCAATGGCTATTAGCTAAGATAGTCAGGGCCAGAGCCCCATACTCTGGGTTTCCCTAAAGCTCTGATGGCCAGAAGCTGGGACCGGATGACAGGGGACGGATAATTCAATAAACTGCCCTGTTCTGGTCGCTCCCTCTGAAGCATCTGGCACAGGCCACTGTCAGAAGACAAGGATACTAGTCTAGATGAACCTAGGGTGACCAGACAGCAAGTGTGAAAAATCGGGATGGGGTGGGGGGTAATAGGAGCCTATATAAAAAAAAGACCCAAAAATCGGGACTGTCCCTATAAAACCGGGACATCTGGTCACCCAGCTGGTCTGAGCCAGTATGGCTGT